ACTAATCGATTACTTTTTGAAATAATGGATTAGTTTTCTGAATAGTGAAAATATATATATATATATATATATATATTATATTATAAAAATGAAAATAAGTTATACTTTAGAGAATATATATATATATATATATATATATATATATATTAAAATATAATTTATTTTTTAGTTGATAATTTTTATTTTTATTTATGTAAATTTTATATATAAAATTAATTTAGAGTTCATATATGTAATTTTAATTTATGTAATATATATATATATATATATATATATATAATTTATTTAACATTAAAAATACTTATATTTTTATTAATTTTATAATCATAATATTTTTAAGGTTGTAATTTTAAATATAATTTTTTTAACTTTATATTTATAATTTATATAATATATATAATTTAAAAATAATTAGGTTTTTTTAATTTTAATTTCATATATATTTTATTTATAATTATTTAATATATATTTAAAAAACTAATTGATTATTTAAAAATTAATCAATTATTTAAAAAAATAACTGGTTCTCATAAAAAACTAATAGATTATTTAAAAATAATCGATTAGTTAAAAAATATATATTTATATATATATATATATATATATATTATATTATAGAAATAAAAATAAGTTATACTTTGTAGATATATATATATATATATATATATATATATATATATATATATTAAAATATAATTTGTTTTTAAGTTGTTAATTTTTATTTTTATTTATATAAATTTTATATATAAAATTAATTTAGAGTTCATATATGTAATTTTAATTTATGTAATATATATATATATATATATATATATAATTTATATAATATATATATAATTTATTTAACATTAAAAACAGTTATATTTTTATTAATTTTATAATTATAATTTTTTTAAGGTTATAATTTTAAATATAATTTTTTAACTTTATATTTATAATTTATATAATATATATAATTTAAAAATAATTTTTTTTTAAATTGAAGTTGAAATATTTTTTTATTTATAATTATTTATATATCTTTGAAAAACTAATTGATTATATAAAAATTATTCAATTATTTAAAAAATAACCGATTCTCATCAGGTATGAAAAAATCAAGTATGAAAAAACTAATCGATTACTTTTTGAAATAATCGATTAGTTTTTTAAATAGTTAAAAAAATATATATATATATATATATATATATATATATATATATATATATATATATAATAGTGGTTAAAAGTGACATATATGATAGCGGTTAACGTGGAATCGCTCTAAAAAGGACTTATAAGATAGCGGTCCCTCACTAATTGCTATCTAAAATAAGTATGAAAATACTAATCGATTACTTTTTGAAATAATCGAATAGTTTTCTGAATAGTTAAAATATATATATATATATATATATATATATATATATATATATTAAAATATAATTTATTTTTAAGTTGATAATTTTTATTTTTATTTATGTACATTTTATATATAAAATTAATTTAGAGTTTATATATGTAATTTTAATTTATGTAATATATATATATACATATATATATAATTTATATAATATATATAATTTATTTAATATTAAAAATAGTTATATTTTTATTAATTTTATAATAATAATTTTTTTAAGGTTATAATTTTAAATATAATTTTTTTAACTTTATATTTATAATTTATATAATATATATAATTTAAAAATAATTATTTTTTTAATTTTAATTTGATATATTTTTCTATTTATAATTATTTAATATATATTTGCAAAATTAATTAATTATTTAAAATTTAATCAATTATTTAAAAAAATAACCGATTCTCATCAAATATGAAAAAACTAATCGATTACTTTTTGAAATAATCAATTAGTTTTTTAAATAGTTATATATATATATATATATATATATATATATATATATATATATATATATATATATATATATATATATAATAGCAAAACCGCTCTTAGTGACATATATATTAACCGCTATCTAATCATACTTAATTTCAAAATATCGGTATCTCAGTCTTAAAGCGTGGATCGTAATCCAACGGTGAAATTTTACCGAGTAACCCGAGTGTGTCAAAATTTGAACGCACCAAATCTAAATCCAGGTGAACGGGTTTAAGCGTTTCGAATCATATTAAGGTTTAATTTTCCCACTCTTATTCCAGTTGAGTTGCTTCCCGCCACCACCACACGCGACGGAAGGTATACGGGAGAGGGTTGGATCCGCTTCACGCCGGTAATCCCCGTTGCGTTTACTCAAACATATATATTAACAACCCGATCTATGATTGATATTTGGATTTCTTGTAGTGTTTGATTGAAAAGGCGAGGAAGATGTGTGCGTGTGGTTTCAAATGATGATTTTGTAACGAGCTTGTGAATTAAAAAAATTTAAACATACAAATAAAAATTATATTTTACTACTTTCAACCATAATTCTAAGTATATTATTAATCTAATAAATACATAATTCTTTTTAAAACTATATTTAAAACTATAAATTTTATATAAAACATTATAAAATTATATAGATATATTTTTTTAATTATATAATTATAATTTTTATAATATATAATTGATAAATATTTTTTTAAATTTTAATTTAATATATATTTTTATTTATAAATTTTTAATATATATTTGAGAAATTAATAAATTATAATCTCTTATTTGAAAAACTAATCAATTTTAATCAATTATTTAAAAAACTAATCAATTCTAATCAATTATTTAAAAAACTAATATATATAATTTAAAAATAATTATGTTTTTTTAATTTTAATTTCATATATATTTTATTTATAATTATTTAATATATATTTAAAAAATTAATTGATTATTTAAAAATTAATCAATTATTTAAAAAAACAACTCGGTTCTTATAAAAACTAATCGATTATTTCAAAAGAATCGATTAGTTAAAAAATATATATATTATATATATATATATATATCTTATATTATAGAAATAAAAATAAGTTATACTTTGGGGATATATATATATATATATATATATATATATATATATATATATTAAAATATAATTTATTTTTAAATTGATAATTTTTATTTTTATTTATGTAAATTTTATATATAAAATTAATTTAGAGTTTATATATGTAATTTTAATTTATGTAATATATATATAATTTATATAATATATATAATTTATTTAACATTAAAAATAGTTATATTTTTATTAATTTTATAATTATAATTTTTTTTAAGGTTATAATTTTAAATATAATTTTTTAACTTTATATTTATAATTTATATAATTTAAAAATAATTATTTTTTTTAATTTAAAGTTTATATATTTTTTTATTTATAATTATTTAATATATATTTGAAAAATTAATTAATTATTTAAAAATTAATCAATTATTTAAAAAAATAACTTATTCTCATCAATTAAGAAAAAATCAAATATAAAAATACTAATCAATTACTTTTTAAAATAATCGATTAATTTTTTAAATAGGTAATATAATATATATATATATATATATATATATATATATACATATATATATATATATATATATATATATATATATACACGATAGCAGTTAAAAGTGATATAATAGCGTTACAGTAACCGCTATCTAATTATACTTGATTTCAAAATATGGCACTCTTATATCTCAATCTTAAAGCTTGGATCGTGATCCAACGGTGAAATTTTACTGAGTACCCCAGTGTGTCAAAATTTGAACGCACCAAATCTAAATCCAGGTGAACGGGTTTAAGCGTTTCTAATCATATTAGGGTTTAATTTTCCCACTCTTATCCCAGTTGAGTTGCTTCCGGCCGACCACCACACGCGACGGAAGGTATACGGGAGAGGGTTGGATCCGCTTCACGCCGGTAATCCCCGTTGCGTTTACTCAAACATATATATTAACAACCCGATCTATGATTGATATTTGGATTTCTTGTAGTGTTTGATTGAAAAGTCGAGGAAGATGTGTGCGTGTGGTTTCAAATGATGATTTTGTAATGAGCTTGTGAATTTCATCGCGTAACCAAGTTATCGGACTCTCACTAAAGAATAACCCTTATATAAATTTCATGTTCTGTTTCTGTTCCTAGCTTCAATATCTACTACCTAACCTGCCCTATGTATATGGCTTCGGGAAGAGGATTTCTTTAGAACCATGTCTTGGATATTTTGACCCTATTTAAGAAACTAAATGTATAAATATTTCAGATTTCGTTGGGACTTTGAAATGAAATATTGGGAATTATGAACTGAAAGCTGCAAATCCTTGCATGCCTGATTTTGCTGACTCATCGGGATTATTTTTCAAGTTTTGACGGATTTAAGGACTTTTTTTCTCCCGTAGCTGCTGTAGATGAGGAAACCTAAACGTTTATGTTAGTTGAAAGTTGAGGAGTGTGATTAGCAAACCTGTTAAGTTCTCTCCATAAAATGGCATTTTGAATTATTGAATTTGTACAGTTGTTCGCTGCCAATTTGATGTGAAAACTTGCCTCTTGATTTCGACACAAAACATAGGGATTTGATGCTGGGAGCTCATTAACTGTGTTTGGTTTCGTACCGAGTTCCATACAATTCTTCCTTAACGATTTCAGTTTTCAAAGAAATTAAACCATATGAATGTTATACTACCTACATAAATCAGGTTCGACTGTGATAGATTTTTTTACCACACCATTGTGGTTTTGTCAGTTTTTAGCACTTTGATGAAGTAGTTGAATAAAGTAGACCCATTTCATGAATGACGCAACTCTTAATTTTATTTTCCCCGCTTAAGAGAGTACACTGTATATACACGACATATGTCTCTTAGTGACTTAGTCTTACTTAATGTTTGTGTTTGTTCTGCATTCTTAGCTATTATTAACCATAGATCTGCGTGATTTTTTTTATCTGTTTTTGTTTCTTTCATTTTACTAATTTTTGAATTATTCAGGCAAGCTAACCCACCAATTTGCAAAACACTGGGGGTTAATTTTTTTTAACCCCTTTCCAAAAGATGGGCCAACCCATCTTGTCCCCTTTCGGCAGGGTTGTTGGTCAAAGTGGGCTAACTTGCTTTGTGAATGTTAATCGCAGCTAATTTGCCTTCATTTCCTTGAAACTCACATTTGCAATCTCTCAGTTTCATTTTGGCAATTTGCGGAATTAAATTTGTAGATGGCTTTAAGGGGGGTTTGGCAGCTCAACAAGCTGATTGTCAGCTATTGCGACTGGGGTGGAAGTAGCAGAGGTATAAGGTATATATACATTCGTACTATATCTTCAATTTAATATATTTACTCCCATATTCACATTCATGCTATTAGGAACAATAAAGTTTTTATTTTTACTTTTTGGTATCTGGGTTTATAGGTTTTCTGAATTACTATAGTGCACTTTATTTGTTTATAACATTGCAAATTGCAAACAATCCCTAAGTCATTGTTTGTGAGTTTTGAAAGAATGGAGTGAATAGTTCATAAATGTTCTGTCATCTTGATTTTATAAGATGATATGTAATTTAATGAGTGGATATGATAAGGCCCAAGGTAAACAGGAAAGTGAACCACTGGCCCATGAGAACAAAGGAGGTCCAAGGAAATGGATTATGTATGCACGTAAGAAGAAAAAGAATGCTGATGTGGCATGAAAGATTTCTGAGGTTGTTAGAGGAGAGAGGAAGAATATTTTCTGTTATGAAAATAGTCATGTTTTGGGAGTAGGAGAGGAAGGGATTTTTCGGTTGGTTTTGAGGAGGGGAACCTCATGGTTGTTCTATTAGGAGCTTAGCTCTTGGCAGAAAAAGGGATTATCCTTTTTCTGAGTTTCATTATTGTCTCTATTACATTCTCAATACAGAAATTTCTTACTTACCTGTGTGATTATTGCTTTATTTTATGTGGTTGATGTTTGAATCCTATTAGGATGCCTGACATTCCTTTCATGACTTAGCGATTGAGATTTGTTACATTACAGTCTTGCATAGTAGCTTATCTTCCAATAATAACAAAGTTTTTTAATCAGATAATTGTTCTTCGGAACTGATATTGTGTTCCCATGCTTGATCATATTTCTCCTTTGACTGCAGGCTTAATCTTTGTTCTTCGATTTTGCTTACTAGTAAAATTCAGTGTGGAAACGTAGATGCCTACTTCATAACTGAACTTTATGTTGAGCATCATCATTTTTTCATATTTTTATCCTGCTTTGAACAGCGGATTCTCACATTAGTTTTGAATATTTGACAGGGCCTTTATGGAGTCTCATTTGCCAGCATTTAAGGAGAAGAATCCTCAATTAGAGGTGGTTACTGAACTAATTCGTGGTCAGCATCCACATCTTAAGGGATTTTACAGTAAGATTCTTGTGCCCTTTTTTTGTAGCTTTCTTACTAATTTTTCTTAGTTGTAATTGATGATTCTCCTATGAGATGTTGCGTGGGACTGAATGCGGAGGGTAAAAAGAAAGGAGAAAATTTAGCTTCATTATTACAATGGATGAGTGGACACACTGGACAAGATAATGCATTAGAGAGAAAGATAGATAGCAACTATCGTGAAAAGAAGATCCAATAATTAGGAAAATCCAGTGTGGTGACCCGCCGCCTTTGTGTTGTTTGATTGATGTTGTCGATCCCACGTAGTGGGAATAGATTTTTTGTTGTTGTGATGGATGATTATCCTGTGAAATGCAGAGAACAAGAATCAGCGAGTGATATGTGTGAAGAATATGGATCCAGAAGACATACATTTGCACGCAACTAGGCTAAGGAATGCATTGGGAAGGAAGGTGGTGAAATTGAGGACAAGACACGTAACCAAACACCCTAGTGTGCAAGGTACTTGGACAACTTCCCTGGAGTATTAAGATAGAAAACTGGCTGTATGAGAAAATTTCTTGTGGTAATTTAATCAAATTTGTTATCCAGTGGATATAATAAGTTCGCACATCTGGCATAGTTTTCCCCGTAAGTTCCTTTTCTCTGTGAAGACATTTTTTTTTCTTTTTCTGGTAGTATTGTTTGCTTCCCAATGATGAAACTAAATGAAAAAAAAATTGGAAGCGCACGATGTAAGTTATTGGCGGTTCCGTTTAAAGCTGTCTGTTTAACGGGTGTTGCTGTGGGCCGTTTAAGGGAAGTAATAGTTGCTTAAGGATACATGATTTTCAAGTTTGGCCGCTAAAGAAAAGAAAAATTAAACTAATACAAACCAGTTGTAAATAAATAAATCTCTTGGTAGTCAAAATTTAATAGCTTTTTTAAGTTAGTTTTCGAATGTTTGTGGTTTGGGTCTTAAATAATCTCGATTGACAAATGAAATGGCTGTGAAACATAATGGACAATTTGGCTGTTACTTTTTGGCAAATGATCGGGAAGGCGACATATTTCTGACCCTTTTGCCAGACTGTAGTAGCAGAAGTAACTTGTAACAATGATAGGTAAAAGGAACATCGAAGATTTGCTATTCGTCTCACTAAGAATGCCAAAAAATGTTGGAACCATGAAGTCAATACTACAATCAGCTGATCATATTAGCTTCTTAAGCTGACGGCAAAAAGCAATTTTGCTTTGTTGATTGCGCAATTTTGCTAAGGAATTGTTCCTCAGTTTTTAATTTCTTAGTTATTTCACAAGACATAATGAAATTTGATAATGTTGAGATGATAAACTCAATTATAAACCGACATTGACGTTAAACGAAAGGAAATAATAATGGAAAAAAAGAATAAGGTATAAAGAAAGTTGTAAAACGCTTGAAGGTACGGAATGATAGTTATATTTTATTCCCTTTACAATGAGTCTCACATTTTGATTAACTTACCTTAGTTGGATCGTGTTAAATAACAACATTGGATCAAAATGAAGAGATTGTTTTATGAAATAGTCCTGTCATTTTTGGCACTTTCTACCTACATACACCTTATAGTTTTTTTCCTTCATCTCTCTAATTAAATTAAATTCTTATTTTACTTTTATATCTATTTTCATCTTCTTACGTGCTTATTTTTTTATTTTTAAACCTTTGAATGTCTTATTTCTAAATCTTATTGAAGTATTTTCATTTTTTCCCTTATTATTTCAAGAATTGAAAGAAATTGGTAAGAATCTCTAATTTTGTAATTTGTATCAATTTTTGTTGTCAGGTACAATATTTGCATAATAAGATTTTTGGATGAAAATACATTTAGGATTTGAAAGACAGTTCTAGAAATTTGAAATACATTATGAAAAAAATTTCTTGAAAATATATTCTGGAATGAGTGTTTTAGAATAAGTTTTTGAAAAAGTTAATGCAAAAATATATTTTGGATTGTGTGTTTAATTGAAAAACATAGAATTCATTTTATAATTTTTATTCATATTATTTTTATACACGAGATACTATGATCTTATAGTTTACTCCAACAAATCATGATTAAATAAAGAAAGTTCTGATTATACGAGTATTTTGTACCACTATACAAACTTATAATTTAGTTAATCAAATATCTTTATTCTAACACTCCCCCTCAAGTTGGTAAATGGATGTCATACATTCCCAACTTGTCCAATAATCTCCTAAAAATTTGACTTGTCACAATTTTGGTAAGAATGTTTGCCAGCTGATCTTCAGATCGAATATTTGGCAATTCTAGAATATTTTTATAAAGTTTTTCCTTGATGAAAAATCTATTAACCTCCACATGCTTCATCCGATCATGTTGGACAAGGTTGTAAGCAATGTCGCGTGCAACTTTATTATCACAATACAACTGAATGAGACGTGTATGTGCATACCCTAAATCCTGGAGAAGTAGTTTGAGCCACATACCTTCACAAAGTCCAAGAACCATTCTTCTAAGTTCGGTTCAGATCCTGGATCTAGCTACAACTTTACGCTTCTTGCTTTTCCATGTGACAAGATTACCTCCTACAAATGTAAAGTACCCGGAGGTTGATCTTCTATCATCAAGAGCACTCGCCTAATCTGCATCAGGTATAAACCATCACATCCTTGTAGTTGGAGTTCTTCTTGAACACAACTCCTTTTCCAGGAGCAACTTTTATGTACCTTAAAATCCGTATAACAACATCCATGTGTTTTTCACCTGGATTGTGCATGAACTGGCTAACCACACTAAGAGCATAAGCTAAATCTGACCTAGTGTGTGAGAGATACATCAATATCCCTACAAGTCTCTGATATCTTCCCGTGTTAGTTGGAGTTTGATCTTCTTTAATGCACAACTTCAATCCCTTTTCAATTGGAAAATTTTTTGGTTTGCATGTTGTCATTCCAGTTTCTTTCAGTAAATCCAATGCATACTTTCGATATGAGAGAAAAATACCTGACTTTGATCTTGAGACCTCAATTCCAAGAAAATATTTCAAAGGACCAAGATCCTTCATCTCGAATTCCTTTGCCAAGTACTCTTTCAATGCCTTCCCTTTCTCTAGATCGTTTCCTGTAACTATCATGTCATCAACATAGACAATAAGAATTATAATCTTTCCTTTCTTTTTCTTTAGAAACAAGGTATGATCTTAGTTGCTCTGTTGATATCCAAAAGTAAGCATTGACTTGGTGAATCTACCAAACCATGCTCGTGGCGATTTTTTTAGTCCATACAATGACTTCTTCAACTTGCATACCTTTTTGCTATGTGTATTCGGGATCCCACATCCTTCTGGTAGCTCCATATAAACTTCTTCAGACAATTCCCCATGTAAAAATGCATTTTTTATGTCAAATTGTTGTAAGGACTAATCAAGGTTTACAACTAGAGATAACAATACTCGAACTGTACTAATTTTGGCTACGGGAGCAAACGTTGTAATCTATTCCATATGCTTGTGTGTACAGCTTTGCCACTAATCTAGCTTTGAATCTCTCAATTGTGCCATCTGAATTAAATTTCACAGTATACACCCATCGACATCCTACTAGTTTCTTTCCAACTAGACAATCTACTAATTCCCATGTTTTATTTCTTTGCAAGGATCTCATCTCCTCATTCGTAGCATCCTTCCACCTGGAGTCAGCTAAAGCTTCCCGCAAACTGTTAGGAATAGATAAGTAGATAATTGACTTATAAATGCGATATTTGAGTTAGACAAATTCTGGTTACAAATATAATTATTCATATCTTGTCTTACTGGTGAGGTCAGGATCATAAGTAGGCTTGGGGATACCTCTAGTGACACGATCTGGCAGAATTCTTTTTTCTGTATTAGGTTCTTGAGGAGACGATTGGTGTGGTATATCATCAGCATCAACAGGCAAATTTTTGATCTGGACATGCTCAAAATCTTCCTCATTATGTGGTTGTTAATTATAACATTGTTGCATACTTTCATCATCTCCTGATACAACTTTGTAACTTTCTTTCTTCAATCTGACCTCAATATCAATTTCTTGAGGAACAAAAGTTTGAACTTCATCATAATTCTCCCCCTGAATTTCAGACTCGGGGGAAAAATATATCAAGGTTTCATGAAAAACTACATCTATAGTAGTAAACATTTGCTTGGTTTGTGAATTGTAGCACCGATATCCTTTCTGGTGATCCACATAGCCAAGGAACTCACACCTTTAAGCTCTAGGAGACAACTTACTTCTCTTATGCTTGTGTAAGTGAACATAAGCAACACAACCAAACACTTTATGTGTTAGTTCAACAATTTTAGGACTTACTACTGCATCTGTAAGTGATTAAAGAGGTATTTTATACTTAAGAGACCTAGACGGTGTTTGGTTGATAGTGTATACTGCATATGTGAGAGCTTCTCCCCAATATATTGCTGGTATGTGAGCTCCAATCAGTGCAGCTCAGACCATCTCCAATAGATGACGGTTCTTTCGTTCTGCCACCTCATTCTGTTGTGGAGTATTTGGACAAGATCTCTGATGAACAATTCCTTTGACTACTAAAAAATGTTGAAGTTCTGATTGCATATATTCTCCTTCGTTGTCGCCGCCGTCCCTTTCCGACGTCCTGGGGACGTCTCGAAACGTTTATGCGAGCGGTCGCGAAAAGATGGTTTAGACTCGCGTTTTTTGTTTTAAAATGTGCTCATTGCTTCCGAGGTGTCCGACAATTGAATTATCCTCTAATAAAAGCAAGGTTTTCGAAAAGGGGTTCTTATGGAGTCGCCACCAATATTTTGACCAGAAACATTGGAAAAGGAAAGAAAGAAAGGCGTTGATTTTATAAAATAAACAACTTGGCCGTTATAACCAGAGTTGGGTAAGGGAGTTAGTTACGTGTGGGGAAGGTGTTAGCACCCCACAACGCCCCTTTCGGGTTCCCTATGACAGATCAATTCATTTAAAGAGAAGATTTCGAGAAATTACGTGATTACCCTATTTTATTGCATAATATTGAAATGACTATTTACATAATTTTATATAAATAAAGCTAAATAAAGCAATAATAGAGATATTAAAATGACTATCTACATGATTCTATTTTACATGACATAATAAAGCTAAATAAAACAATAAAACAATAAATAAAACAATAAAAGAGAAGGGAATTGAAAAGAACCTCCGTAGCAAGCTTTATATTGAGAATCTCGAACCGTGAGGATGCGTTTTGGCAACCCCTCTCTCTACACAGTCTCTCCTCACCAATACAAGATCGACTCCACTAAAAATTTAAAGAAGAATCAAATGCCGGAATATAATTCCTTAACCGATTGTTACCTATTTAAGGCAATCGGAAAGATCATTCGAGAGAGGGAGAGAAGTAGACAAGTGCTCTAAAGTGTTTCGAGCTCTCCGGAGTGTCCGTGGTGTGAAAAAGTGGCAAATGAGCCTCCTATTTATAGTTTTTCGCAGCTGGCGCACTTTGGGACGGCCGTCTGGGTTGGGACGGCCGTCTGG